AAAAAAAAAAAAAAAAAAAAAAAAAAAAAGACCAGCTGCTTCCTGCTTCCGGCCGCGGCTCCTCTTCCTGCTTGCGTCCCGGAGCCGTGCGCCCTGGGGTTCTGAACCCCGCGTCCCCGGAGCCGTGCGCCCCGGAGCCACCGCCTCGCGACCCTGCAGCCCCCGCGCACCCCGGCACCATGGCCGCCCCCGACCTGTCCACCAACCTCCAGGAGGAGGCCACCTGCGCCATCTGCCTCGACTACTTCACCGACCCGGTGATGACCGACTGCGGCCACAACTTCTGCCGCGAGTGCATCCGGCGCTGCTGGGGCCAGCCCGAGGGCCCGTACGCCTGCCCTGAGTGCCGCGAGCTGTCCCCGCAGAGGAATTTGCGGCCCAACCGCCCCCTCGCCAAGATGGCCGAGATGGCGCGGCGCCTGCACCCGCCGTCGCCCGTCCCGCAGGGCGTGTGCGCCGCGCACCGCGAGCCGCTGGCCGCCTTCTGCGGGGACGAGCTGCGCCTGCTGTGTGCCGCCTGCGAACGTTCCGGGGAGCACTGGGCGCACCGCGTGCGGCCGCTGCAGGACGCCGCCGATGACCTCAAGGTGCGCGCGGGGTTGGGGAAGGGGCCTCCCAGACGGGCCCGAGGCCGGTGATGGGGTGTCGCCAGCCGCCCTGGGGCTGAGGGGTCGCGGCCTGGGCCGGAGCTGAGGGGTAGAGGAAGCCGGCTCTGGTCCCCAGGTGGGTGGGCACGTGTGATTGACCAGTGTCGGGATAGAGCCCAGAGTGGGGAGAGAACCCCAGGTGACGTGGGGACCACCTCTGCCGTCCGACATGCTAGGGTCAGCGCCGCTTGGATCCCTGGCTGAGCTGCCTTGTTTTTCTTCTCCGGATATGTTTCCCTGAAATTTGCTGATTGAGTAGAAACAGGTGAAGCAGAGGCCTCACTTGGGGTCTCAGAATTGCAGCCAGAGCCCAGATCCTGGCAGCAACCAGAAGTGCCCACCTGCATGGGGAAGCAAGGGGTTTTTATGAGGAAGGGTAGCGTGGCAATTTCATGACCTGGGTAGAGGCGGAGGAGAAGTACTGGTTGGAGCTGACAGGCTGAGCTGTTTGATTAATGCTGAATTTGACTGATTTTTTGGTGCCACTGACTGAAACTAGCCCTAGTGAGCCTGTGTTAGCCACCCGACCTCCATGAAGTCCACATTGACAGTTTTGTTTATGTGTGGTTTATGAGGATACCAGTTGCTCTGTTGATTTTATGAGCAATTGCTTGTAACAAATGACTGTTTCTGGCCTGATTCAAAAGCTCTTTCTGCCTTGGTTAAAAGTTAGAAAAGGGAAATAGAACTTCAGAATGCAGTCTGTCATGTCCAGAGATTTTACACAATTCCAAGAATTCAAGGCAACCCCAGCACTTCCTCTGCTGAGTGCCTCGGGGCAAACACTCACCCGGCCCACCTGGTTCACCTGGCAGTCTGCATTTCCTCACTGGCCTGTTGAAGGGTTTGCTCCTGGAACCAGAGATAATGAGGACGGCAGCAGCATCTTTCAAAACCTTTTGAATGCAGATTGCATTTGTGGGCAGTAGGGTGTGTCTGCTGAGTTCACCAAGTATTGTCTGTCATTGTCTCAGAACAAGCTTTTGGGATGCCAGAATAAACCTGTGCCCCGACCATGTCAGTGGACTTGTCCTGACATGGATTCCTGTGTTTTTTCTTCTCACTTTGAAGTATAGCACATAAGCAGGAATGTTCACTCCTGTGTCAACCCAGCAGGCCTGCATTCCTATCACTGAGCACCCTGCTCGCAGGAAGTGACTGTCAGGGCAGAGAGTGACTAGCAGCTCTCCTGAGGACCCTCCTGGCTGACCTGATAAAGTTCTATGGGCCAGCACTCAACCCTTTGTATTGTAGAGGAAGAAAGATCTTTTCATGTATCCTGTTAGGTTTAGTGACTGTGGTTTGCAAATTAAATTGACAAAGGACAGATTAACTGGTGAAAAGGCATATTTTATCAGTCAAATTTTATGTGACAAGGGACAGAAAAGACAGGGACTTGTATAACATTTTAGCAAAGGATGAAAAGTTGTTGGGGGGAACTAGGAAATAGAAAAGGGAGACTAACAAAAAGTCAGGGTTATGTGAGCACGGTTGTTTAGGCAGACTCATCTCAGTGTCCACGACTCCTTCAGACTGTGTGCCAGGCCTTGTGGCTTTCCCAGGTGCCATGCGGGTCGAAAACAGTTGACATGAACAGTCAAGACCAGAACTGAGGGGGCTGCATAGAAATATGCTCCATCCGGGCAACGGGCCAGCTTTAGTGGTCGTGGTAGCGGGTGGGGGCCTGCCCAGAGGCCCGGCCCAGCAGAAGTCCCTCTGACTGGCCTCGCCTCCTTGCAGGTGAAACTGGAGAAGTCCCTGGAGCATCTTCGCAAGCAAATGGAGGATGCTCTGCTGTTCCAGGCCCAGGCTGAGGAGACCTGTGCCCTGTGGCAGGCAGGTGGCTGGGAGGCAGGGGGCTCCAGGGTCCCCACCACGGGACACCGCATTTTACACTGCAGCTGGGTGGAGGAAGGGGGCAG